GCTTTTGCTTTGCAGTAGTTCCATTATTATTTAAATGTATTTTTGAATACCTCTAACGAATTGTCTCCATCAGCCATTAAAACAGTTTGTTCTGTTCTAAATAGTATGTTGGGTGGTGTGGCTCAAGCTGCTGCCAGCAGAATCCCTTGTATTGCACATGGTGTACCTTGCCCAGCACATTTGCCTTTAGCTTAGATGGTTTTTGTTTGTTGTATTTTTTTAGTTCTTTATAAGGCATTTTGGATGGAAATTACATTAAAACCAGACAGAATACTTAACTTGGGTTACTGGAATAGACAATGTTCTTACCCTCTGAAATTCTCAGAAATCTCTCCAAAAGATATTTGCAAATGCTTATTTTTTAATCACAAGAAGTGCAAACTATTATTTGATCTCAAAAAGTGAAATGACATAAAGAAGTACCAAAAAAAGGCTGTGTGGTTATTAACTGGATTTCTTATTTTTTTATAGTATCACCCTGCATTTCAGAGGTGGCTGTGTTTTTAATTTTTACAACCATACTTTGCTTATGCTTTACTTCTGCTGAATTCTTGCAGCTGGAAAACTACTTCAGTCCTCTGCTAGTAAACTATCTATACTCATCACACTGATTTTCATGCTGGGTGATCAAACTATGGGGGATAGTAAATTAGTTGTGATACACACCACTTGTCCCAACTGTCTTCTTATGCTGCCACCACCTTGCCATGGCATAGGTTGCACTCATCTCTTTTAACTTGCCTGTCTGCAAACTGGTTTATTCCTGTGGTTTGTTATCATACTAGTTTTGTATGAAGCTCACTCAGAATCTTTTTAGACTTTACATGACCATACTCTTGGCTTTTACTTATCATTTTTTAGAATCTGCCATCAGGTGGGCTCTTGGAAGTTGTTATCATGGGGCTCTTTCCTCTCCTATTAGAGTTCCTAATCCATGAATAATACTCGGATTTTATTCAGAAGGAAACAATTTTTTCACTCAGGCTTGCCCACCTTTTTTTTTTTTTTTAATGATTTTTTAATATTTTTTTGGTAGCTTTATTACCTTAAGCTTGTTATTCACTCTGGTAAATCTGCAATTTTTTTGTATATTGACAAGCCAAGCCTTTTAGGAAATCTGCTCCTGTTTCTGCATCTCCTACCTAACAGTCCTGTCACTTTTTTCTTTGGGCACAGAAGATGTCTCTAGGTGGCTGAATGCCCTGCAGAGCCCTCTCCTATGTTGAAAGGCCACTGAACTTGAGTTCCAGCAGAAGCTGTGGTGGCCTTGTAGAGCCATAGAAGGTGAAAGTTTGCTTATTTAACACACATTGTTTTTCTTGAGATAGACTTTGTGTGTGAACATTCAGTAATCCACCACATCTGCTCTCCCTTTCTTTTCCTCTGCATCTTCTCTCATTGTTTGAGAAACTGTAGAATTATAAGTTGAGAGGAACTGAGAGGGAGAACCATACCTGCCTATATCACACCTTGGATGAGAATTCTCCTGCAGAGGTGACACAGGACCAAATAGCCTTATTTTCAATAATTGAGTATAAGAGTGATGAAAAGAATACAATTGGTGTTTCATTTTTTTATGAAGGTGATTCTTGGTTTTTTCCCTTTCTCAAATAAACAGGTGTTTTGTTTGTTTTTTTTTCCTTTTCCCCCCTATAAAAACCATAAATATTTTGACTTAAAATAAATTTAAGTCACTATTTTCTGATCAGTTCTAGGAGGTCTGTTAAGGTGTGCTCTTTTTGTTAAAGCATTCTTTAGGTGACTGTTGCACACGTGGACAGTTTAGTTGTGGAGACTGTTGCTTTTTCAATATCAAGCTGACTTGGTGGCTGCTGAAGTGTTATTAATCACTTAACACAGCTTAATTAAAAGGTGCAAGCACAGTGGCTCATACTCCCACCTGTTGTTAGTGGCCTTCTGCAAAGCTGAGAACCTGTTTTCCTGATCAGTTTGTTATTAAAAATAATATTCGTTAGCTGGTTTTGATTGAAGACAACAAAATCTAGCAAAAAATATTAGAGAACTAAGAAGACATGGCCTACAAGGAAAGGTGGATAGTTTTATTTAAGAAAAGAGAGGAATTAGGGAATACATGATGAATTTTAAAACAAATAAACGTAATTTCCAGAAGAGCACAGAATGTGTTTTTGGTAGCGTGAAATCTGTAGATGAGTTTGGGGACTTGGAATATTATGATTATGATCAGTATTGGTATTTTCCAAGATGTCCTCCTTTCTACACCTTGCCCCTCAGGAAAGGCAAAATTACAGATGTTTTTATTGAAATTTGTTTTTGAGGGAGAAACAAAACAGAACAGAAATAAAACATCCAAAATAAACAATAGTAACAACAACAAAAAAGGCAAAAAAATCCCCACAAAATTAAAAAAAAAGTTGTCTTCAAAATATTTTAATATTTAAATCAGAAAAATATAATAATACTTCTCAATTGTCTAACAGTTTGTATTTGTTGTTTTATTTACAAATTGTGTGATTTTTCTTTGCTTTTGAGAGACTGAAAAATTAATCTCTTCCACCTGTTATGACTTGTATCCACTTCTCCACTATATTTTGGCTGCCTAGAAAAACAAAGCAGAGTACAGCAAAGAATGCACATTATTGATGTAATTCTAGTCCTCTTAATGCAATATTTCAGAGGGATGCCTGAACCATTTGAGGTTTATGAAATAAGGTGGGTTTTTTTATGCCAGTGATCCATGGATGAGAACTCATGTATGAGTTTTTATTTATTTATTTGTTTATTTATTTAATCTTTTTGTTGGGAACTCAAAACTTAGACAAATCACAGTCAAGGAGTCTTGGATTTGGGAGAATTCACAGGGGAAATGACCAAGAAATAAGAGCTGGTGGATAACCTTATAATAGCCCAAGTGTATTTTTACACTTTATTAGCAGATTGGTGCGTATGTATTTTAAAATTACAGCTTAATCTTGTTTTTAATTGTCTGTCTAAAAGTGATCTTGATGAAAAGCAACCATCTCAAATCAAGGGAAGGCACTGAGATGATGTTTTTGTAACCAAGTGCAGCCTGTGTTTTAGTGCTGACTCCGCCAGTAGCACATGAGCTATAGGGTACATATTTGCATTTAATTCTTTTTCATAAGTGATGTATTTATTCAGACAAACAAATACACTGTGATAATGAGTTTGGCCTCAGGAGGAACTGTAAAAAGGCCATTAATAAGCATATGGAATATGGATGGAGTGCAGGATGCAGCCTGAATAGATAACTGGCTGTACCAGTGGAAATCCTGAATTCCTGGGAACTTCTCATTTTCTCCTTTGTGGCATTTTTACAACAGATATGAAGATACAAAGAGCTTTGTGCAAATGTATGAGGTAACTGCCTAGTTCAAAACTGCCACACTTGCAATTATTTTGATAGTCTAGTGGCCAAGATCTTTGCTTAACAGAAAAAAAAAAGTCCTGAAGTGGTGTGTTTGTTTCTGTGATTTGCTGCTCCCCCACCCCCAAAAAGCACTAAATAAATAGGTACTTGCTCTCCTTCATTATTCCTTTATTTGGTTGCTAATGAAAAATGTACCGTGTCTTTTTTCGGTCCCATTTAAGAAATCTTCTTTCCATTGACCTTTTCGGAAGGCAGGATAATTGAAGTGATAATCTGAAGAGGGAAGCATTGATTTTAAAGACCCTGTTTTTCAAATCAAATGGCATCTACTCGTCTCACACTTATGCGGACCTATTCTGCAGAAGAAAGTGAAGCTTCCCACTACCACTGAATTAACTGAGGTTTGTGATTTCTGAGAACTGACACATCAAGTATCTGTTCTGCACTCCAGAGACAAACAGCTGAGACCAAAGACAGTGAAGTAACTGTAATTTAAAAATCAATTCAAATGTTTCCAAGGGTTATTTGGTTTTCTCCATTAGAATTAGGGATTGAAACATTATTGGGGCATCTTTCCTAATACTTAATGCTGCCAGGTTTTCTCTCTACATTTGTCTGAAAATTTATTATATACTTCAAGATTTGCCTGAAATGTTGCACACTTGTGGTGTTAGTAGCGTTGCTTTCATGTGGTATGAATTTGTGAATTACACAGTGTGTAATTGTGGAGTAAGGGATGGAACACACATTATGCTTGCATTTGAAACAAACACATTGCCTGAAAAAAAGTTTAGTACCACAAGGTACCTACTTTATTCATATTGAATATTACAGACATTCAGTTTGATCCTTTTGCTTTTGATTTCTTCTCTGTCCTCAGACTCCAAGTGACAGGAAATAAGTTGCTGCAAATGAGTTTGATCTGTGCTTGTTTGAGGTCCTTCTGTGTGTGGTGGATTTTCCATCTGCATTCTTTTTGCTCTCTCTGTTGGGTTTCCTTTGCTTCAAATTGATGTGAAGGACCAAGGGAGATACAGTTATACCGGGTCACTATGCAGAATAAGGCCATGGAGCATCAGAACAAAATTCCCAGGACATTATGGTTAAAGCACAGGTTAATATCAAACTAGCTCAAAATAAACTGTTTGTTTGATTCAATCAAACAAGGTAAACTGTCTTGGTAAGTTCAGATTACAATTGTGGGACTTCTTAATTTGAAGAATAAGCATCAATCTTTTGGTGGTTATGTCTCCAGTAAGACTGAAACCAGATTCTGAACCAGTAGAAGTTCCAGCTTAAAGCCAAGTTATTTATCCTGATTCTTTACATAAAATTACTGTTGAAATGACCAATGAATTTTTATAACTGCACCCTCAGCTCCCATTTTAAAACTTTTCTTCTTTGTAGTACTGTATAATCCTCCAGAGCTTATGTGCTCACCATGGGCACTTTTATCACTGTGATAAAAAATTACAAATGACTTCCCACTTTAAAGTAATGGTGCTATTACTATAATGCTTTTTAAAAATAAAGTTTTAATCAATGTGAGGTGATTTGCCAGAAAGAAAAAAAATTTTATGTTCTTCTTCATACTCACTGAAATTTGGTTTTGTTGTTCTTTTTTTAATAGTGATTCCAGAGTTTATTAGTCAAGTAAATATTGCATTGGAAAGCCTAAGTAAGAACACAGTTCATCTGTTCGATGATAACCACTTTGTGGACATTTCTAAGAAGGTGTATGATGCGATTCACAACATCAGGTGCTCAGTCATGATGATTCGGGTGAGTTTTTAATTTGTTCTTTTAATAGTTGTTTTTGAGATGGTTCGGGACATTAGGGATTTAGAATTGTGTATGTGATCAGTGCCCCTAAGGTCATATCCAGGTTGAACTGATCTGGGAAATTTGGATTACCATGAAACAAACGTGATTATAACTCCAGAAGTGTAGAATTGCATTGAGTACAAAATCAGAATGTTGCATCAAAATGTCTTTTGTTCCTCAAAAGTATTTAGTTATATTTGGTTGATAAAGAACTTCATTCTCTTCAGTAATTATCAACTTGCAGCTACAAACCCTAATCTGCAGTTCTCCAGCCTTAACCTGTGGATTGTAGGAACTTGAGAGTATATTCAAGTGATTCTGATAATCCCTTCTTGAAGTTTTTTCAGCTTTCCATCACACGACTTCACAGCCTGATTTCTGTCAGTCTTACACAATTACAATCACTGCACCTACCCTGGTGTTTTTCCTGTAGTTTGGGAAACTGCTTCAGAACAACTTATTTTTAAAACTCAAAACAGAATTTTGTCAGGTGCAGAATTTCCCCCAAATATCTTCAGCTCATAAATTCGACTTCAAGTGATAAAAGAACTGAGCTGTAATGTATGTAGGTTCAGCAGTTTTGTTTTTAAATGAAATTAAGTGTTAATAAAAATATATAGAGATCTCTCAGAGGAAGTTTGTCTTCTGCCTTGACTTTTCAGTTGAGAACAAAGTTATTGCTTATTCTTTTTCCTTAAAATACAAAAACATTCTAGGCTGGCATGACCAGCAGGTCATGCAAGGTGGGCCTGCTCCTCTACTCCACTTTGATGAGACCCACCTGCAGTGCTGCATCCAGCTGTGGGGTCCTCAGCACAGAAGAGACATGGACTTGTTGGAGCGAGTCCAGAGGATGGCCACAAAAATGATCTGAGGGGTGGAGCATTGTCATGGGTCGAGGCAGGAGGCGACATGGGTTTCAGGATACCAGCAGCTTTTTTATTGCAACAGTGCAGCTACCTTTATACAGTGCTGGGGTGACACATGTACACACAGCATTGGTTTAGCACTTCATAACAACTTATGATTGGACATGCAGCCACATGTCCTAAGACCATAGGTTAGTATCCTAACAGGAAACCCACTCTGTGTTACAGTCCTACTATCCCTGGTTAACCCTCTGCCAGGTGTAAGAAGTTCCATCTTCAGGATTTCAGCTTACAGAGAGCCCAGAACCAGCTGGACTCCCCCACAGAGCATCTCTCCTGTGAGAAAAGGCTGAGGGAGAGTTTGGGTTCTGATGTGAAAAATATTAGTCTTAACATATTGTGTTAGTTGAAATGTTTCAGTAGGAATGTCAATGTACAAAATTATTAAAATGTGTCATCTTTATTGCAGTTGTCAATTAGGAAATTTTTTATATACTGAAGAAAAATCCTGAAACATCTAACATCTTGCCTATACTAGTAAAAGTTTGTGTGAGCTGGATTTGCATGGCGAAACAAACCAGAGTGAGGCTTATCCTCTGATTAATTCCTGTGAACATAGGCTAAGGGTTTGATTAGGATGTCTGATTTTTTTTCTAGATAGTTAAACTTCATTTAATGCCTGTATTGCTCACCCCATCTTCTCTCAGTGAATCAGGGACTCCTGCTTTTTTTTTAAGATTACAAAACTGCTTCTGTCTGTTCCTCAGTGAGGTCTGAATCTTCTGTATGTCCAGTCTTCTTGGGCTTGACCTCCAGCTGGTTGTGATTGACTATTCCTTTATAGAGTTTTTAATTTTTGGGAAGTTGGGAAACGCGCTGAGGAGTGTAACAAAGCTTCAGTCAGCTTCTCTGAAGACACAGGCATAGCTCTGCACAAAACGGTATATTCTTAGTCTTCTGTGATGTGTGTATGTGAACAGTAACTCAGAAAAGGATATTGTATCCCCTGTACTTCTTTCTGAAACATGAGGGTTAAATAGTGAGATCTGAAGAGACTGTAGGTAGTCACAGTGCCCATTGTAAGTGTAAGTGCAGGGTGCAACCATAAAATCGTGAATCACTGCACACCAAAATGGACAGTATTAATATGAAGATTTCTGTCAGTGCTATCTTACAATTCTGCTTTGCAAGTCCTGACAAAAGCTCAGGAGATTAAAAAAAAAAAAGAAAAATCATTAAAGGGGACATGTGCAGTTTTCTGCTTAATGAATACCATTTTTCAGGCACAGTCATAAGAGGTTTTTTTTTTAGGTTTGGTGAAACGTTAGTCAGTTCCTCCACCATGCCTTAGAGACGCTGACTGCCGGCGCAGAGAGAGCGCGGAGGAAACCCTGGCATTCATTTTCTGAGTCAGGATGTATTTGCATTCCTAATTAGATACATTCCAGACAATGCCAGTTTCCTTTCAGTGCCTGTAAGAAGCTTTAGTAAATCTGATGGTTATTCAGACATACTCTCTTGGCACAGCAGCCAAGGTGAGGAAACAGAAATGTTCTGTGGCCAGCTTACAGGGACTTGGTGATGGTGCCAAAGAACAAGGGGTTGCTGATTACAGGGGATTGCAAGGCTGAATCAGGGTAAGAAATTGTTGATCAAAATATAATTGAGAAATGTAAATGAACAAGGCCACTCATTCACAGGGGACAATTTGTCAACATCAGAGTAAAAGCAGAAAGTCTTTGGATCACTTCCTCAGGAAGCATTTCAAGCATGTATTTACGCAGAGAGAATGTTTTTAAAAATAGAGTTCTAACTGTAAAATGCTGCCCAATACTAGTGTTAATGCAGATTATCAGATATGCATTTCTATGTTCAAGCTTAACCATAGATACATAAAACATTCACTCCAGTCCTGCAGGTTTAATTTGAGTAACACTTGAGAGCACCTGAACAGTGGAGGGTGTGTTGTACTGCTGAGCTGTAATAGGAATGCCTCTGGAACTGCAGGGTGCTTCTTTTAAGATGTTTTCATTGTTTCACTCACAAGGATTACTTAATCCAAGGGTGGCTGTTGATTTGAAATCACCAAATAGGTGATCCAGGGCATATCCACATTCCTTAATAATTTTTTGACTCTTTAGACATCTGATTTTTGTAAGATTATAGAGACTTTGTGAGCTTGATTTTGCAGAGGAACATCTGGACTCTATCTGGATATCATTTTAGTCAGGATATTTGTCCCAGGTTGGACTTGGCTCCCAGCCAAGTGCCCGGACCTCAGGGACAAAGCCTTCCCCCTCCCTCTCTTTCTTGTGCAATTGATCGAAAAGATCACAAAAAAGAAAATCAAAAGAACCCAAACCGAACTGAATTTTAAGTGGAAGATTTTTATATATATATATATAAAGAAAATTATTTACAGGGAACCCCCCAAAGGGGAAAAGGGAAGGGAAAGGGAAAAGGAAAAAGGAATAAAAAGGGATATAATGTAAATACTTCCCTCCAGAGATAGCGAACCACACCACACAACCGCCGGCACTCTCTGCCTCTCAAGGCCAACCAGATGCGCTAGGCCTCACTCCCTCGCCCGGGCAGAGCGACAGCAAAGCTACCTTCGCCTTTGGTCCACCGGAAGAAAGAGAGCAAGAGTTTCCTCTCTCTTCTTATTTATACTCTTGCTTACGTAAAAATCATATGGAATACTGGGAACATGGCCTTGGTTCCTTGGTTACAACCTAGTCACCAAGGAAGGCCTAGTCTTAAAACTACTACAGTATTGATGTAACGGACATAGACTAAGGTAGATAGTACAATTAAAGATAGGAACTGTGCCATGTGAAATATATAGCAAAGTCAAAGGAAACAGGTTGATAGTTTTTGAGGCAATACGTACTGAATTCTGCGTAATTAAAGATTAATCTTTAAATGAAAAAGAGCTTCTGTATGAAGTTGTTTTTTGTTGAAGAATATGAGACAGCTGGATTGCAGTAACAGTGAGTAATATCCCACTAGGATATTAAGCACAGTGGAAAGTAGTGCCTTCAAATGAATAACAACTACTCATAGCTGAAGCAGTAATGAAGTCATCCTAACAGAAATATTCCAAGAACAGGAAAAGAATTCACCAAGTCCAAAGTTTCACCAAATTCTTTGTTTTTATTGGAGGATAAACAAGTGAGCATGTGTAAGTTTTTCAGAGACAAAGAAGAGGGCACAAGGTTCATATACTCTCTGCAAAATGCTTTCACTACACTTATATTCACGAAGGCAGTGAATGAGGATCCCCTGTTCTGTATTTTTATGAGAGGTGGAAAATGTATGTTGAGACTGCAGTTCTTATCTGATACTGCATATCATTTTGATGCATTTCTTAAAAATCCTCTCTACTGAATGTATATTCCATGTGCTATTTCTTTCAGAATTCTAGCATGGAGACTGTAGGTTCCCTCAGGAGTCTATGGTGTCAGATTTTCTGAGTTTGTTTTGCACATTGGGCCTTGATTTCCATTGCATGACCATTCTCTGCACCATTTGTGCATGATCTCCACCCCCCTGAAAACTGGGGCAAAGCATTCATTTTGCTTTTCTGTCTTGCCTAGATACTTTTATTTCAACTAGACCTTCACTACATCCCCAATGCATTCCCTGTATTTCTATTTCTTTAGCTAATAGTCTTCTAATGTAGTTTTTAATTTCCTTTGAAAAGTCAAACTCAGTTTAGCTACCCATTCAGGTGTCTGCAGTGTAATGCTTTTTAAAATGTTTTGGCTTCCTGAGAATACTCGTGGGGGGGGGGGTGTTCCTTTTTCTTCTTTTATTGGTTGCAAATTCTTTGTGGTTTTTCATTCTGCTTTAAAGAAAATGTGAGAGTTCACCCTTAGTAGAGGTTGTGAGTTCTTTGATACACTTGATTTCTCTCAGTAAGAGACATCACAGCAGACTACATTCTCTTATACCCAGCAGAGTCACAGGAATTTTCAGAACATGGACCTCTTGGAAAGGAAGACAGCACGTGGTGAAAGCCCTTCAGCCATTTAAGGAGTGTCTAGTTTAAATTCTACCTTGGCTTTTGTTAATGACAGAATTATC